GGTGACCACTTTGATCAGCCTAGGAAGGAACCGAGATTGCGCGGTATCGGTCCTCGTTAAACTGTTTCTACAGTAAAGTGTTCGACTTCAAGAGCTGGTCGTCGGGCTACCAAAGCCGGGTATCGTCTCCTCTGTAGAGGATCAAAAATGTGATGCCATGTCTCCGGATCATCCTCAGGGATGTTTCCCACACCGTGGCCAATAGCCGATTGAGCAGCTCTAATGTGATTTAAATATATTACTACTACTAAAATTGTTCTAAAAGTATCAAAATTACCGACTCTTTTGGTCACAAATTTTACCACATTTACCACCAAATACTATAACGATAATGAAACCACGTTTAATTTGTAATATTTACATAAGTTATTACCAAAGCGATACAATAAAAATTACCGTTCGTTTCATTATGCTCATGGAGCCAGAAAATGGGTTAAATTTTACCACATTTTGATAGTAATTTCTTTCACCGTGAAAATTTACTCTTGTAGGTAATATAATGTCCTATATAATAAAAATATTGATTATGCTGTGTGCAGGTTTCAGAAATCAATTTTGTAACATTAAAAAATTATCCCCGTTTTCCCCTATCTCAATATTTGACTCTCTGACATTCGAGAAGAAAAAATCAGACTTAATGTTAGTTTGCTCCTTGTAATCTAAGTTACGTATCCTTCTATATAACACAAAATTCTATTTTTGAAACAATTTACTGTTTGAAAACGAAGAGTATGGTAACATATTCAAGGATTGATTGTCGGAAAAAGCAATATGACCTAAAAACAATAATTTATTTGCAATAATTTGTCAAATGAATTTTTATGGGACTCTTGCTTGGTTAAAATTTTGGCTTTGTTTCCATCTATACAACTCAATAATATACTTTCAAGTATAGTTTAAACTTCAGAATTATATACTACAATATTTTAAATAATAAGAGTCTAAAAAATATTTATGCTCTTCGAATAAAGGTTGCACATTTCAAACTAGTAAGGTAAATTGTTAAATGCCAATTGTGAAGTTAAAAATTGAGACATGTTTTTTCCCTATAAGACGAAACATTCTTCTGCAATTTTTTAAAGTTGTTTACAGATTGAATACAAAAGGTATAATAAGATTTAAAATAATAAAGCGTGAAGATTATATTTATGTTTTAAAATAGAGGTTTCAGGGTAATTTTTGTGAAACAGTTGCTTCAAACTTTGTGGTAATAAAAATTTAGCCACACTTCTCTTTTTATAATCCGATAATATACTGCTTCACTTTTTAAAAAAATTACAGTTAGAGTATAAGCTGTATAACACCATTTTCAAAAGTGACGATCGTATAAAATATTTATGTCCTAAATATATAGTTTTATAATGCAAATTTGAGAAATAATGTTTTAAGGTTCTCTTTGTATGTTCTGCTGCCACTTTTAAAACATTTGATAGCTAAATGCAAATTATATGATATACCATTTAAAAAATGACTCGTGTAGAAAATGTAGGTTACCGTAAACTGCAAGTTTCTCAATTTGAAAAGTGAAATTCATTTCTTAAGTGTATTAATATAAAAATATGGTCTCATTTTTATCTAAAAATTTAAATTTTGACTGCAATTTTTAGAGTACTTTGCAATTAGGCTACAAAGTGAGTGTAGAGGTGGGTAAGTATAAATTTTTTTGATATCAGTTACAAACTGATACTATTACTACTGAGTATCAGTTACAAAAACTTTATACTTTTGGTTTTAGATACATATCAATCTACATTTATGGAGGAGTAATAAGGTAGAAATTTCAATTTCTTTTAAACATAATTTCCCTTACTTGAGTTAAATCTAATATGAAGTCAAATATTTTTTTAAAAGAAATGTAACATACTTTTAATATAATTACTTTCAATGAAGTTATGAAAATATAATATGTCCACAAACTCTTATAAGATATAACTATCACAAATCCATATATTTATTTTGGTTAAATAATATACATAATGAAACATTTTTCGTTTATTTATATCTGGATAATTTTTAATTAGATTTCAAAAGAATCTCAACACTTTAGCCTGATCACCAGAAAAAAGTTTATATATCAAATTAAAATGAAAATCGTCTACATCAAATAGTAAAAAAAAGAATTTTTTATCTTCGTAATTTAACATTATTAAAATAAAGTAAATGGTCCGCAATTTTTCGTAATATATTTAAGAAAAAGCTCACTTGAAAATGATAGTAATAATTTTTTTTAAATAAATATATTTAGTTTTACGAAAAGTATTCGTCAACATTCTTTTGTAATTTTGAAAGTTGAAAAAAAATTTAAATACGATTTGATTTAAACAACACGACAATTTAATTATGTAGGGACTCATTACTATTAATCATAATACTTCTGTAAGGAAATGAAATAGTATCCATATTATTCTTCCTTGGATCATTTAAAAAAAATGTAACTACAGTTTGTAACTAAGCTTCAAATTGATATGATTCCGCTTATTGATACAAGTCCGCAGAAGAATACAAGTTAATACGAGTTTGGGGATGAATACAAGTTAATACGAGTTTGGGGATGATTACAAGTTAATGCGAGTTTGGGGATGAATACAAGTTAATACGAATTTGGGGGTGAATACAAGTTAATACGAGTTTGGGGATGAATACAAGTTAATACGAGTTTGGGGATGAATACAAGTTAATACGAGTTTGGAGATGAATACAAGTTGATACCAGTTTGGAGATGAATCCAAGAAGCAATCGATTCAATTGTGAGTAAATACTTAACATAGGAACGTCTAGTGAATGTGATATTTGAAAATCAAGGGGAAAGAACGGTTACAGTCGATGTCCATTTTTCAGAAAAATGACTATTGCAACGTGATCTGCTGCATTTCAAGAATCACAAAGTTCTGACAAATCACTTACGTGGAATATTGGCTCTTCTCGAAAGTTATTACACAGTAAAAATGAGTCTTGATGGAGAAAAACGTTTTCCGTCCACGCGTAGAAAAAAAAAAGATAAAGTATAGTGAAAAAGACGATGGGAATGCTGGTTGGTTGGTTCTAATGCCACTTGCCACACGGGCAAGCCTGCTTGGTGAAACCGAGCAAATATAAGGCAGAGTGTGCGATTCTTGTTTTCCAGTGGCGCCATGCATAGCCAAGAATTCGACTTCGCCACATCATACGTCACACCTGTTTATAAGGCGGACCACTTCATACATTCATTCATCCACAGATCGTAATTTTGACCTGAATCAGAGAACGATCGACCTCCAATCCAGTACACTCAGAGGTATTGATTTGTTATGGGAACATGGAGGACTTTTGCGACTCGACAGATTTAACACGCATCAGTCACTTTACTATCGGCGGGGTTCGAACCCATGAACTCTCGGACATGAGCCCAGAGCCCTACCAACCAGGCTATCCCGGCCTTGGGAATACTAATGAGGAAATATGGATTTGGGAAGAAAGTTTGAGGGGAAAAAATGGTTCTTGCTCAACCCAATTTTCAAATTTTATTCTTTGCCTATGAAATTTATAATCAAGTATATATTTTTCGCTTCAGTTTCTTAGCATTATTTATTCAACATGCATATTAGTGTCACGAGAATTATATCTTGATATTTATTTTACACTTATCATTTTTGAAAAGTCATTTTATTTTATAGTTTTATGAACGGTGTTAAAGCGGTAGGTCTGTTTGCATTTTAGTCTAATTCAAGAAGAAAAGAAATTGTAAAATATGTCGAGTTAATTTGCTTAATTATTTTTCACTTAGTTTACTGACATACCTGGTAAAGGAAACCCTCCTGGAGGCAGTCGGCGCTGCTAATTGTAGCAGCATCTGCAAATTAATTATGTGGATTGAATGTCATCTTAAATTTTTTTTAAAAAAAAGAAGATCGAACAAAAGAGAAAACTTTATTTTTCAATCCAAGCTTATAATCAACAATTTATAATCCTCCCTTTATTAAATATTCCAGGAAAGAAACACATCTATGCAGGTGAACGACACTGTATCATCCTGTTATAAGTTATTTGCATTGAAAAAGATAGAAAAGATACAGTTTAATAACCATTCCTCAGGGCCATTTTCTATCTTACATTCAATCCACTTAATATTCATTATTCTATTTATTGTTTCATTTCTCAGCGAAGTATCTATGATGATATGATAATCCATTTTTATTTAAAGAAACTTTAAATAGATTACAGAAATTATAAAAATAAAAGCACCGTACAACAACGATTTTATTAATCACTCGCTTCGATAGGTAACAAAAAGAATTTTATTATGATCGCTTGCAAGTTTAACCTTTTAATTAAAAACTTGTTTCCGCCTGATTTTTGAATCAAATTAAATTTAAGCAATGTAAATTTTTTGTGAATTATTTCAGCATTTTTAAATGCTCATAATTTATAATACTCATAAAGTCATAGTTTTTAAATACTTAATATTTGGGATTTTTTCGACGTGTTTACTGAATTTTCTTAATAATAATATCTGTCTGACTGCCTTGAGGCTTCAAACAAATGGGGATTTATTGAGATAAGAGCTGCAGAAAATCTACATATATTTTATTAATTTAAATATATTTTATTAATTAAACGTTTGAAAATATTCCTTTCAATTTCAAAAGAAATTGTATTTTAGTGGAAATTTAATTTTTTGATATTATACCAATATTTTTACATTTTAGGATTTTTCAAATAAAACCAAACATTTTAAAAAGGAATTTTACTTTATGAAATACTCAATATTTGTGATTTTTTTACGTACTTGCTGAATTTTCACAGTATTAATATCTATCTAGCTGCCTTGAGGTTGCACACAAATGGGTATTCATTGAGATAGAGCAACAGAAAATCTAAATATATTTTATTAACTAAACTTTTAAAAATATTCCTTTTAATTTCAGAAGAAATTGCATTTTAGTGGAAATTTTCTTTTTGATATTTATGTCCCTATTTTTAAATTTTAGGAATTTTTCAACTTTTTCAAATAAAACCAAATATTTTTAGAAAAGAAAATTTTATTCAATTTTTTCCAATATGAGATGTTGGTGGAGAATTGATTTGACTTTTTGTAACAATGAGAAAGGCAAATAAGAAACGCTGCTGTTTTCAGGGATACTACAAGAGAGTCAATTAAATCAAGATAGCCAAAATCCTTTACTTTAGAGTGGTTACGTGGTAACAGATATTTTTGTATCAGGAATATGTTTCTTAAAACACGCTGTTACAATCTATATCTTTAGCTTGGTACTTCATTACGTAGCTTGCTGTTGAGGTCTTACGAGAACATCGTGTACCTCAACATAGGGAGGAGTTCCTAGAATGTATACAACTGTTCCGGCAATATCATCCGGTTGAAGACATTCCATAGAGTTGTATAAAGCACATCCTTGTGCTGGATCACTTTTCTGGAGACGAGGAAAAAATTCTGTTTCCACCACTCCCGGACTTACACTCTGAAAGAAAGGGTAAAAAACTGTAAAGAATATAGTAAATAGATTATTAGTTATTTTTTTAAGATGAATTACACTTTATAAAAATTCCATTAGGTGAACCTAGGCAACCGCCTGTTGATTCAAAAGAAAAAAGGGGGTAAATTCAAGCTTATGATTTATGTAATCAAGTTTACGATTTAATGAATGATATTTATTGTTTAATAAAGAGAAGACTTTTGCGTTACGTTATGGCTTCCCGCAAACGCTAATTAAATTTTACTTCGCATGCATGAAAATCAACGTAAAAAAGTGACGTATACAGCTCTTGAATGCAGCTTTTACTGAATACAGCCTTTGCATTACGCTTAGCGAAATCTTAACTTTAACCCTGTTTCTCAAAAGCCGCACGTTTTAATGTGTGCGTTGGTTTAATTGCATTTGCGAAACTTCTTTTCCTTATTTCCATTTTTTTCTTTATTTTCATTATTCTTTATTTTCGTTCTTTTTTTTTCATTATTCCTGATTTTCAATATACTTTTTAAAATATGAATTATTTGTTGTAAATAGAGGAAACGCTCTTGATGAAAATGTTGCAGTTTCGGCAAGAAACATGTTTCAAATCAACGAAATCGATCAGAGTAGATTTTTTTTTCTTGATATGGAAGAATATTTTTTAAAATTATACAATTTTACTTTAACCACAGTTCATTTATTTTTCTTATTTTAATATTTTATTATTTATTGAATTATTTGTGAGTAATTTTAAAATTAAAAGTACGAAATATGCTTTAGTAATAAAAAAAGTGCTTATTAACATGTAGTTAACATATGGTTAACATATATAGTAATAGACTTTATATTAAACATTAATTGTAGTTGCTAAGATATCCATTTATTCCCTAGATTACTTTTCAACTAAAGCTAAATTTGATTAGTTTTGGAATAAAACTTACTAATAGGTACTAAAGAAAACTTTAAAAAATAATAATAAGCTATATACAAAAAAGCAAAACTAATAGAGAAATTACATTAATTTGATTAAGAAAATTAAGAGAATGTATTTATTACTAACTTATAACTAAAACAGTAAATGACTACAATTTACTAACCGATACTCGTATTTTACTCTTCATTTCTTTGACTTCTCTACGAAGGCCTTCGGTTATTGCTCGAACCATAAACTTAGTACCACAATAGAAATTGTTACCAGACATTCCTGGAGCTACTCTGTGACCACCCATACTGGAAATAAATAAATATTATTTTTAATAATAATTGAAATCATTCATTTATCAAGCCATTCATTTATCAAGCCATTCATTACAAAGAGGGCATTTAAATGCCGAAGTTTATTTATTTAAAGGTGAATATCTTTTATGGCAGGGAAGAAGAAAGACACATTAATTTAACTGGGAACTATGACTGTCTACTTTTAAGGAATAACTGGGTTTCATTTATCTAAATGATCATAATTTTCCATCACTATATTATCTATTATCGCCAAAAATTTCCTTTAAAGTGACCAAAAAATAGTTGTTTCATAATTATTTAACAATTAAACAACCAATCCACTGAATTGACCACGAAATCATTAAGTCAGTGTGTAAACAAAGAAGCGAATTAATAAATTAATAAATCAAAAAAAGTTCATTAATTAATCAATGAATCATTAAAAACACACGAATTACTGAATCAGTAACTGCGTAAAAAAACGGAAGCAACAGAAAGAATCACATTTAATTTTTAATAAGAAGGTATAAAGTTTTAGTAACCACAACATGTTACGTTACGTTACATGATGGTTACTAAACGTTATTACGCTAAATGTTATACGTTATTTACTTCAAAAGGAAACTAATTAATTAATAATAAATTAATGAATCAAAAAAGTTAATTAATTAATCAATGAATCATTAAAAACACGAATTAAAGAATCAGTAACTGCGTAAAAAAACGGAAGCAACAGAAAGAATCACATTTAATTTTTAATAAGAAGGTATAAAATTTTAGTAACAACACCATGTTACGCTACGTTACATGATGGTTACTAAACGTTATTACGTTAAATGTTATACGTTATTTACTTCAAAAAGAAACTATTAGAATTAAAAATAAAAGACAACGCACCAGCTGGAAGTTTAATCGATTAAATGTAAAATAAGTCATACGATACATCATAAAAGTTAGTAAAGAGCAATTCACTTAAATGCTTAACCCCAACCCGCCCCCAAAGGGGGAATCTAAGGATTCAATTTACATTAAAATCAAAAGATTACAGAATTCCAAATAAGTTAGTAAAAAGCAATAAAAAATCTATCTAAAAGGGAATGTTTCGACTAGTAAACAAAATTAAGACCTTATTTAAAGAACAAAATCAGATATTTTTGTTCTCGTTAACAGAAAAATATCGAATTATGACACACAAAAAAGAAACAAATATTTATTCATTCGATTTTGCTGCAGTTTGCATGAGTTTAATGAGTTATGTAAGAAAATATTCAAGGACAATATTGCTAAAAAAAATAATAAAAATTTAAAAAAAAACTTAGTTAAAAATTAAAAAAGTTATCAATTACAAGATACAATCTCATCACCTGGTAATGTGATTATATTCATAAAAATGTTGCTTTTTAATATTGTATTAACATAGTCAAAGCAAATTACATCAATAGCGTAAGAAGCTCCAAAATAGAAGAGACCGATTTGTAAAGATAATGTAATCAAGAAATTTTTTTAAATAAAACACTGATAAGAACATATAAAACGAAGAGGGAGAAAGATGTCATGTAGTTACAAATAAGTTGCAAAAACGGTTTTAAAATATTTTCGTAAGTTGCCAGATTACAAATTATGAAATTAAAGCGTAAATAGAGAGTTGGATTTCTTTTCAAGGTGCGTTCATACTGAAGTTAAAAATCACATTTAATTTGTCCATTAACCTAGATTGGCCCGAAAATTGGATTTGTGCAAAATAATATATTATACTAGATAATTCGAAATTTATAATTAATAAAAAGTCGAATTTTAAATACAATAATTTAATTTAATATTTTTTATAGAAATTATAAATATTTCTTGCGTTAGTTGGTTAGTAATAAAATTTCAAACGAATTAAAATAAAGTAGAAATCTAATTTTAATATTTGGTTGCCACGGAATTTCGCAAAAGGTTGAAATTGCTAATGATGAGATTATATCTTTTCGTTATAATTTTTTCTCTAATGCTTAACATTTCTTATAATTCTAAAGTTTTAATAATCTCTCTCATTATTTTGTTTGAAATTCTTTTTTTCCTTTCCTGTTTTCCTTGGATTTTAATTTCTTATTAGGGGTTATATATATTCTAGTACTTGCAGTTTACGCGAGCAGTTAATAAAACTTAATAAGACTTAATAAATCTTAAATTCTTAAATTTTCTATGACACTTTTTTCTTTTCTTATCCATCTATAAAATTTTTTAAGCATATGAATAAAATAAAGAAATCCTATGCTTTGATGACGACTTTAAATAGTTATAATTTTTTTTCATTTTTGATATAAAACTGCATTAACATCCTAAATTAACAGTTCTGATTTTCGTTATAAAATCTTTTTTTTTTTTTTTTTTTTTTTTTTTNTTTTTTTTTTTTTTTTTTTTTTTTTTTTTTTTTTTTTTTTTTGCTTTATATGTTTAAAAACACTAAAATCTTTAATAATATTGATTCTCTTTGCTGTTCTGATTTTGAAAACGTATATGCTTTCCTTCCAAATAATAAAATTCTTGATGACCTTATTCAAATTCATAGCCTATTTAATCTTAATGATATAACTGATAAAGAGAGCTGGAAGTTTCTGGTTCATATTACCTTTAACAACAATTATATTCTATTTAATGACTGTCTTTTTCAACAAATTAATGGTATCCCCATGGGAAATGATTTTAGTACTAATGTTTGCAATATTTTTCTTTTTCTTCAAGAACATAGATTCGTTAATTCATTTGATAATCTTCCGACAAATTCCTTCTTTCTCAGATTTATTAATGATATTTTGGTTATTAATTTTAATGATTTTGAAATTCCAGCTAAACAAATTTATCGAAGTGAATCAATTCCTAACAAAACTAATATTTGATATCTTTCAGCAAATTTTTAAGATTTTTCTTGAAATTAAAGAAGATTTGTAAATTACATTCAAACTTTTTGACAAAAGAATTAATTTTAACTTTCAAATTAATAAGATTATCGATTTAAATTCCATCTTAGCCTATAAGGGTTGTTCCAATATAATTACAGATCAGATTCTTAGGCTTCACAGGTATCATTCCAATTATAAAGAATTTTTAAAAGAAACGGATAAATTATAAGATTATCTCTGATTCAATTTCAAGGTAATTATGAAGCTATTCCTAAAGCCACTGGTAAGAATAGTTTGGATGTATGACCTTTTATACTGGATCAATTAATTTATCAAGTAAACTTCTAAATTGTAGCCTTTATTTAATAATTTTAAATTTTAGTTGTCCAGTGTAATAAACAGTTTCTTTTATTAAGTATGAATGGGGGTCAGACCAATAAGCGGATACTCCCTATGAACGCTGGTAACACGTGTAGACATTACAGTTATGAAAGAAAATATGAATGAAGGATAATCTTTATAAATGGCTTTATATCCATGTATGTAGGCTCTGACTTTATAAACAGTCACCCTATAAAGAAGGAAAACCAATAAAAGGGTTTATTCCTAGTTTACGTTTGCATGTTAAACTCTACTAATATTACCTATTTGATTGTTTTGCTTGTTTGTTTTTTTATTTTGCAATTTAATTTTTTTTGTATTGTTTCTATTAGCTTCTTTACTTATTATGGTTTTTGCTGTTTAAATTTGCCAATTATTGTTAGTATGAATGTTTTTTTTCATAAATGGCATCACTGAAATGTAAGTTGCTTAGATATTTTTACCAATTATTTTACACGATAAAACTAAAAGGACATTTATTATATTTTTTCTTCTAAACAAATTTGTTTAATAGTTAGATCAGTACATCTAATTTTTTTTTTTTTTTTTNTTTTTTTTTTTTTTTTTTTTTTTTTTTTTTTTTTTTTGATCGTGTCCGTGGAAAATTAAATGGCCTCTTGTGCCTTCAAAACTGCTCTCCGCAAGCTCCAATACATCATTACTGCGAGGGATCTCACGAAGTTCTGAAGCCAGTGGCACCATAGCCAGTTGTAAAACATATGGGGTAAAGGCTGGGCAGCCGAGAATGTGATCCGGAATAAGTTGGATATCGGTACAGTTCTTGCAGGAAATATAAGTTCTTATTTTGTCAACACTCGTTTATTTTATTTTACTTCATATCGGTAAGTTTGTTTTCTGCTTTTTTTTCATTCATCCTAAACACATTTAAAATTACATTTTTAAATTGTTTAAAGACATAGACGTATTATAATGAGTGATATTAAGATTAGGACAATTATTCTTTTTCTTAAAAAAAAAAATTGTGCGTGCGTGCGTGCGTGCGTGCGTGCGTGCGTGCGTGCGTGCGTGCATGCATGCATGCATGCATGTATGTATGTATGTATGTATGTATGTATGTATGTATGTATGTATGTATGTATGTATGTATGTATGTATGCATGCATGCATGCATGTATGTATGTATGTATGTAATCATAAATTTTTAGAGTCTGAACTGCCTGGTTCGGGCACTATTATGATATAAAGTTTAGAACTCAGTATAGTTTTTTTTCTTCACCTTCATCAATGAGGCAAATGTTATAAAACCACAATTCCAGAAACTAATGACAAAAAGCTAACAATATAAGTAAAACCCAAAACTAAAAAGCTGCCAAAGTTAGCTAAGAAAATGATTAAAATGCGTAGTTTTTGAAATACAGCGCCATTTCTAATACGATTAAATAATAAATTTCATGAAGCTTAATTATTTTTCATTACTTAGTTGTATTTACGTTACTAACTTACCTCGAAATATGAATGATGTGGCCATCGTCAATACCTTTCTCATTCATTAGTTTCACTGCTTCTCTGGTGCAAATACAAAGAGCTAATATATTAACCTTAAAATAAATAAGCGTGAAAAAAATGGCTATATTTAAAATAAAAAAAGTCATTTATATATACAAGGGTAAAGACAGAATGCATAAGAGAGAATTTATACAAAATAAACTACTTTTCAAGGTGAAAATGTGATATTTTCAACTATTTCATTTGCAAATAGCGGATTAACAGAAAAAAACATGTGAT